GAGACCCCTTGAAGGAACCTAAGACCTAAACCCTAAACCCCTGTACCCTAAACCCTGAAAGCCCCTAAACCCCTTAAGCCCTAAAACAAAAAGTCCCCAAACCTCTAAACTTCTAAGCCCCTAAGCCCTAAACTGAACCCCTAAACTCTACACAAAACGCCTAAAAACCCCTAAACCCCCAAACCCAAAAAATCCCCTAACCCTTAAACTCCTAAACCCCTAAACCCCTCAACCCTAAAAACCCCTAAACCCTAAACCCTAAACCCTAAAAGCCCCTAAATTAAACTCTAAACCCCGAAAACCCCTAAAAGCCCCGAAACCCCCAAACCCTAAAATCCCCAAACCACGCCCCTCGCCCTTCGCCATGCGCGCTGCGCCGGCGCGAGCGGCTCCCGGAGGGCGCCGAGGCAGCGTCCCGGGAGATATGCTGCAGCTCGGCTCGGTTGACCCTAAGGGTTCTTTGCGGGGCTCCTGTAAGGGTACCCTCACGGTCCATGTAGTTTAGGGTTCGGGGTTTAGGGCTTAAGGGTTTAAGGGTTTAGGGTTTAGGCTTTAGGCAGTTTGAAGATGTCGGGTTTAGTGTCTGGGGCTTTAACCCCGGGGTCCAAAGTTTAGGGCTTGAAAGGGTTTAGGGTTTAGGGGCTACTATACGGGTTCTTACTTAGTGCTAGAGTAGGTATCCTTTATTTTTTGGGGGTAGTATAGGCCTCATTATATCCCTATATAACCAAAAAGGTTAACCTTTAGTTCCCCATGACACCCGACAAGTAGGGCTCAACCAGAATCGGCCGGCCGATTCTGAGAGGAGGCTTCATACAGGTAGCATGCCCCTGAAATTTATATTTTGTGACCTTTACCTCCCTTTTGGGATTGATATAACCCTACTGTTGATGGACAAAATCCTGCATGACCCCAAGGACTCTAAACTATGGGAACCATGGTATATTCCTTATTACGGGTAATGCAGGATTTATATCATCAACCCTACCATAGTTGAAAAGGTTAATGTTGTTGGGCTAGGGTACTCAGCCCCTCAGTTGCTTTACCGGGGCCCTATGAGACCTACGTCTTTTGGGATCCTTACTGAGTATGATTCCTAGGTTTAGGGCGGTTTAGTGCTTGGTTTTGGGTTGAAGGAGTTTGAAGATGTCGGGTTAGGGCTTAAACCCAGGGGTCCAAAGTTTAGGGCTTGAAAGGGTTTGGGGTTTAGGGGGTACTATATATATACGGGATTCTATAAGGGTTCGGAAAGGTTCTATGAGGGTTCTTACTGAGTAGTAGAGTGGGTGACCTTGAACCTTTTTTTGGAGTATTGTAGTCCATAGAAAAGCCCAATATACTCCCAAAGGTTAACCTGTGGTTGCCCAGGACAACACCCTAAGCCCTAAGGACCCCAAACCCTAAAAATACGACATATATATATATATATATGTGTATATATATGGGTACCCCCCTATATGGGGTCCCCTGGGTTTTTGCACACCTAAACTATTAAACCATTAAACCAATCCTTTCCCCCAATGGACCCAAACCAATAAACCATTAAACCAATCCTTTCCCCCAATGGACCCAGACCAATAAGCCATTAAACCATTAAACCAATCCTTTCCCCCAGTGGACCCAAACCAATAAACCATTAAACCATTAAACCAATCCTTTCCCCCAGTGGACCCAAACCAATAAACCATTAAACCAATCGTTTCCCCCAATGGACCCAAACCAATAAACCATTAAACCAATCCTTTTGCCCCATACCACTAAACCATTAAACCATTAAACCATTAAACCAATCATTTGCCCCTATAGAGAGAGACACAACCCTGTATGGGCCGAAAGCATTGGTTTAATGGTTTATTGGTTTAGGTGCATTGGGGGAAAGGATTGGTTTAATGGTTTAGTGGTTTAGTGGTATGGGGATTGGTTTAATGGTTTAATGGTTTAGTGGTATGGGGCAAAAGGATTGGTTTAATGGTTTAATGGTTTATTGGTTTGGGTCCATTTGGGCAAAGGATTTGTTTCACGGTGTACTAATTTAACGGTTTGTTAATGGTTTAATGGTTTAGTGATGGGCCTAGGGCTGCCTACTATGCAGGTGTCCTGGTTATAACCGGGGACAGAGGTTATAACCAGGCCTGTGCCACCGCCACAGTACTTCATCAACACCTAAATCCAAACGTTCGAAAGTTTCGTTGTTTCAGGGTGAATGTAACCGCAATGAAATTACACAAGGACTAGAAGAATAGAGGGTCCGAGGTAATTGGCGTGTATTCGGTTGTTGAGGCATGATGCAGTGCTTTGTAACAAACATAACTCCGGGGACCATATGCGCATTCCCCAACTTTAGCGGAAAGGCTATATGGCGACTTTACACAATGGTCTGTCCGTTCCAGTACATCGGGTTTATGAGATCTATGTACACATTGAGAGAATAGCCGCTAACATGTCACTCACGCAGGAATCAAAATGCGGAATATGAAGGGGCTCTATCGGGATTACAGTAGGTCAGTAAGAGTTGTCAACATTGGAATATCACGGTACATAGAAAGTTGAGATACGGCTGATACGACGTCATTGTAGGGAGAGACAGCATTTCATTTTTTACAGCGTGGTCAGGTTTCATCACTTCGTACATAGGCGAACTGGTTGCAACGTTTTGTTCAAACATCGTTCCAAGGAAGCCGGATTTCGAAGAGACAAAACTCATAAGAATATGCATGGTGAACGAAACAAAATTCGCGACTTAAACTGTTAGGTTTCCTCGCTCGGTACGTAGAAAATTCCTCGCAATGCTATTTCCAACTACATGGATGAACCTCTTTCGAGGAGTGATTCGGTGTGTGTGTGTACCACTCTTTCTAACACGAGGATCACGTTCTGGACTGGGAACAATGGCTTCTATTCGACTTTCAGTAAATATTCACAAAAACACAAACAGAATTTCGGACAAGCTAGATGCAGCCTTATGGTTTTCAGTCGGCTTTACGTGATGGTTAAGGTATGCTGATACAAGAAGCACAGGCTTCATCACTCAGCATATAGAAACAGTGCCAAGCCTAAGAAGCGACGCTTCATGTCGTCCCCCAGGAAAAACACTATACAACGTTTGCTAAGCTTGTAGTATGCAAGTTTTCAATTTTGGCTTGGGGCAGCCGTCATACAGACCTAAGGAATGCACCACTCAAGTATACCTACCGGATATACCAGTGTTTAAAAGCAATCACATGGGGGCACAGGGATATGTCATTGAAAGCTATCAGTTTGCCAAAACGTCATAGCAATGCGTCCAACAACAGAGACTTTGGTGGGATTGCGGCATGACAGTACAAAGATGGAAAACTTTTCGTTGCAAAATCTAGTTCGCGATAAGGAATGACTGAACCAGACTAATGACTACAGCGCGCTTGTTGGAAAAAACTGAAATACAGCGGTTTAGATACAGTCACACAAACATCGACGGCTTCAGAGCAAGGATTTTAGCACATTGTAACAGGGTTTCGACGAAGGTGTCATAGAATTCTTAGCGTTGTGCGGGTTTCAGCATTCTGAAAACATGGTTTTCAAACCGGATATAATACTGTAGTCGATGGCGTACACCTGATTATAACCTAGTCGGCTGGTTATAACCTAGTCTGGTGGTTAGAACCGAGTCAGATGCCGAGTCAGATGGTATAGCGAAAAACGTAGGGGCCCCAAATAGGGGTGCGCCCATATATATATATATATGTATATATATATATATATTTATTTGTACACTGGTATATGCATATCTAGGCACATTACATCCCGCACCCGATAAATCGTAGAAACCCGAAAGCAAGGGTCTCCAGCGCAGAGTCCTGTGTTGTTCTACAGCTCGCCTGCCATCAGAGCCTTCAAAGCTGATCCCGGTAGACTTAATCGTAGAATCAAGGGTAAAGGGGACTCTAACCCAGAGAGCCCAACACCCCTTAACTAAGCAATATAGCTTAAACCATAATATGAAGCCCTATATACTTTAAGCCATATTCCTTAGTTAAGGGGTATTGGGCTCTCTGGGAAACCCCTATAAACCCTAAGACCTCTCGCTGTGCGTCGGAACCTTTAAAGAACCTCTCCAGTCTCCACCCAGGAATCTCGAGTCTTTGCCACTTCGAGAGGCGTGATGGGACACAGGGTTTGGGGTGTAGGGTTTTAGGGTTTAGGGTTTAACCCTGAACCCTAAAGGCATGATGGGACAGGTTTGGGGTTTTGTGGATCGTGATCTGCAATTTAAGGCGGTAAGGTGATTGTCGTGCCGGTTTTTTGTGTTTTGGGTATTTATAGGCCCTAAATCCTAAACTCTAATCCCATATTCCTAAACCCTAAACCAAAAGTCTTGGTACGATGGCTTGAAGTCTGCTAGTCCAAACTTCTATAACCTGAAGCCATGATGTGCGGAGCATCGTGATGTTTTCAAGTCCGATCCCCCGTTCGAGGCTGTATATAGTTGCATCTGTTTGAGCATGTCCGAGCGCTCGCTGTGCGTTTGTATTTTCAGTCAGCAGTGTTTTCTATGTGTGTTGTCATGTTAAGCACCGCGCCGCTCTGGTTGCTCAAACAACAGACGCAACATAGAAACACAGCTGTACGGGCCGCGGCCCCGCATGCATACAAGAAACTTTTTCAAGCGCTCTTGTCTTTCTTTTGCATCGCACAGCATAGCACCGCAGCCATTTGGCCTTGCCCTGCATGGCCTCCTCCTTGGCTCCTCCTGACTCGCCTCGCACTGCCCGGCTCGTGAAGGCCATTCAGGAGCTTGCACACGACACCCTTGAGTGTGCTACGCAGTTGCACCTGCGCATAGATGAGCTCAGCATTCGTGTTGAAAACCTTCGGGGTTCCATTCATGCACTTGAGCGTCGCATTGTGCAAATCGAGGGCCTCCCTGAATGCACGGATGTTTTGCCTGACGCATTGCCTGGCTTTGAGTTACACGAACTTGACTAGCTCTAGCCAGCTATCTTAGAGACCTTTCTCTGGCAATGTCGCAACGCCAGGGCAACAAGAAGCAACGCATTGCTACTCCGGAGCCGCCACCTGCTCGGTACAGCACGGCCACTCTCGTGGAGGCTCTTCTGCACTTGAGCACTGACTTCCCTGGCACCGCAGAGTGCATTGCTGGCGGTTTGCCTGAGATTTTTCTGTCGCAACGCTCCGCTGGCATTTTGCTTCGCTTCCTTGAGATGCCTGATAGAAAAGGTCTGTCATTCTTGCATAGCACTGTGCACAGACGAATGGCAGGGACTTGGGACCTCACGCCCGGGGACCGCCGCATACTTATAACTAATCTGCATAACACGGTGGCTTTGCAACATCTTCGCGCTCGCACCGCATAGCATGGCTTCGTCGGCATCCGACTCCTTCGCACTGCTCTGGCTGGCCGATGGTTGGCACGAGCGCAGAGCCCTGCAATTTTTCTTCAGCACATGGAGCTGCATTATTAACCCCGCACAGCTTACGCACTGGCAAGCACAGGAGTCCCTCAGCATGGCATCGACTTTTTCTGATGGACCCGCAATGATTGCGCCCGGCATCTTTTGTCTGGGCCCGCAACGCACGCGCAAGGAGGTGCGCCGCATCGAGCTGCACGAATTAAAGTAAAGACTCCAGATTTTTAAATTAAACTACTTACCAAGAATATCCCCTATAGTCCCCGAATCATAGTAAGATATACATCTAAAACCTTCTTGTGGCCTACTTGCGTAGTTACTGAAGCTTGACACTCTTTCGGCAAGTCTCCTGCTGCTCAGAACCTTCGTGGTTTCAAGCCTTGACAGTCAGTCTTCAGCGGTGTTTCCGGCGTAAGGAATAAAACCTTTCCTTGTGGGTTCATTATCACTTTATATTGGTTGTACGATGAGATACCCTTAACTCTGTCCGAGTATTGAGGCCCCATTTTTACCTGGCGGGTTTCTCGGGTGGCACATTGCGTAGCATGGCGAATCTGTTGTGGCGACCCAAGCTCGCTTTACATCTGCGGGTGTTAAAGTTAAGGCTGTGTACAGCTTCAGTCTTGAAGTTTGCCATTTGTAATTCCGGGGCGTTTGCCTTAAACACTCGTGTTTCAAGGCCAAGAAAAACTTGCAAATCCCACACGCCCTGAACCAAGCCGGGAAACCACAAACCCCTAAACCCGAAACCCTAACTCGGAACCGGCCAGACAAGCTGAAATCCCAGAGCAGGTGTTGGTAAACATCTACGAGGCTGCCTCTCGGCCCTTGTTCGGAAGGCAAAACCTGCTCTACATTATACGGCAATAGCCTAAGCCCTCAAGCCTGAACCTTAAGCCCTAACCCCTACGCCCTAACCCCTGAACTCTAAACCCTAAACCCTAGACTATACTTCACAACCACGGAATGCTGAGACATTTTCAGACACCTTGATCTTGCTTGGGGGTCTGAGTCTGCAAACAATATCCAGTTTGGGGTCGATCGTTTGTACATTAATGCCATGACCTTCTTTGTAGGGGCCGATTTTAGCACAGTAATCTAGAATGTTTAGGGGGCCCCACAAGAAATAGGTTTCTGGTCTTGAAGCATAAATGGAGAGGCGGGATGGTCACCACTAGTCTTCCAGGGGACAATTACGCTACCACGTACCCCAGAGCCCTTGTTTAATTATACAGGCACCTGCATTGCCTGCTCCCAAACCCTAAACCCTAAACCCTAAACCCCTAAACCCTAAACCCTAAAGATTCCGCACGCTGGCCGCAGACCACACGGCGGCTTCGAAGGCAGCAGTCTGGGCCCGCCAGGGACAATCGAAAGCGAGAAGAGACTGAGCTTATCGGAGAACACCGAGGCAGAACGGAAGGCTCGGAGAACGCCGAGGCAGAGCAGAAGGCGATCCTGAAGCTCGCAGATCTGGATTGCTGTGAGTTTTTCCTCTGCGAGGGCTGGCGGGCGGTGGCTTAACTTGTAGCCAGGGTGGCTTGGCCTCTGCGTGCAAATCCAAGTCCCAGCGCCCAGCCGGCTTCCGAGGAAGTAAACCTAAACTAGTAGATACTTAGGCCTTAAAGGGGTCCCTAGATAGGTACTTTAAGGCCTAAGTACATACTATAAGGGTGCATGGAGCCTTAGGGAAACGCTAAACTGCAGAGGTCAAAGGTTAGCTGTTAACCTTCACTTTTGACGTATGTAGATTGCCAAACTCTAAAGAGTCCAGGATGGACTTCACCTGCTACCATACATCGCTGCATCGCGCCAGATATTCCAGTGGGATGAAAGCCTGCCTGACCGCACTCCTTTATCGTCGTCGTGTTTGGGTAGGAGTAGAAAGTAGTGTTCGATACTATCCCAACCCTGGACTAGTAATCCCGCAAGCCCAACATCCAACAACCCAAACTAGCTCGTGTCAGCCCAAGCTTTGAACTCAAACCCAACCTTTAAATCGGAATGGCGACCTTAAATCACCTCACAGGAACCCTTATAGAAGAACTCAAAGTCCAACCCCCCGGACATATGGGAGTCTCCGAAAATTGGGGTACCTTATCTTGGGGTCCTCATAATAAGGATCCTACTATTTCGGGTACTATATTAAGGTCCCCTATTTTCGGAAACTCCCATATAATAATGACAAACAGATCCAAAGCGCGAAACTTCGACACCCGAAGCCCCACCTAAACGATCAGGACTTTGGCTTTAGGGGTTCAGGGTTTAGGGGTTTCAGCGTTTTAGGGTGCCGTCAGAACTGTAGGGGTTCCTTCAAGGGCTCCTGAAGCTGTTATTGTAAGAGTTCCTTTTAGGGGTTTAGGGACTAGCTTGCCAACTGAGGCTTTCATGACCGAATTTGAAGAATCTCACCTTACCCTGGGATCCAAACCCCTACCTTTGTTCGGAGTTATAACCTAAAGTTCAGGGGTCATAACCTACTTTTGTTAGGGTTTGGGTTACAGGTGGGCTCCGGGGGTTTAGGGTTTAGGGCTCTTTGGCTGCTAGTCATGTATGCTGTAGCCCAGGGACCCAGCACTTAAATAATTGGAGCCCTGGGGTAAATTGAACTGCCTCTAAAATGCTGAGCCTTCAAGGTTAGCAACTTCTAGAAACCTGTTCAGAAAGACGGAATCAGAACCGGCGAGAAAGCCGCATGAAACCGCAGAGCCAATGCGTAATGAAGCTCTTCCAAACACTCTTGTAGAACTCTTACAAAGCTCGTATGCAACTCCTAAGCAGACCCTACGCCCGACACCCCATGAGCCCAGAACAAAAATCCTGCATTGTCTCAGGAAGGGCGAAAACAGCCGATTATTCGCAGCCGCCTGAACCTCCGTGTTCCTTGGAACGTGTTGTTGTGTGTCGCTATAGGGGCCTTAATAAATACATGTAATAATGTTTTTGTTGGTGGGTTCCTTGCTATATCTATAGTATAATATACCCCAAAACCCTATTCCAGTTATCAAAGCGCCTGTCTTATGTTGCTTGTTTGGTGCTTCGAGGGGTTATGGGTATTCTGGGTAAACATGATTAGTTGTCGCGGTGTAGAGATGTGCTATGAGGGTGTTGGGCTTTACTGGAATTTAGAAGGCATATTATCATTACAATACTAAGAGCAAAAGTAACCTCAGTAGTATCCTGTCACAGCAGACTATACGGACGATGCCCCAACATCCCCAACACATGATTCTAACTAGTCAGGCTGTAAATCCAAGCTCCCAAACTCCAAACCCTAAGTCATGGCCAGTGCTGTATCAAGCCTAAGATAAGGTCGACTCAGTAGCTGAGTGGGTACACTTTACAGGTTTTGGGATAATATTACCTGCTGTACACTTTTGGGGGCTTATGAACTCAGCAACTAAGTCGATACCTCAACTGGTGGGTAGTGGGGATCTCTGCTTGGCCTCAAGGCAGTCCGCTGGAGTCACAAGGGTTTGAGAAAATGAAGGCATTTTGGGATTACGGGTTTAGGGGTTTTCAATCCAAACAAACAAAGAGAGAACCGGGAAACAAAAACACAGAAGCTACTTTTGGTTGTCAGGATCAGGCTTTCGGCTTTCCCCCGCAGAGCCACACAAAAGGAGGCTTTTCCAGATGCTCTTGGTAAGCCTATACCCACTTAAGACTCTGAGCATACCAATACTGCAGACTTTAGCCTAAACCCTAACTCCTAAACCCCTGAACCATTTTTTGGGCTAGGGCCTATAGGGTACTCAGCCCCTAAGAATACAGTGATACGATTTCCGGGGGCTCTTTGGGTTGCTCGGCTAGATTCCCAGAGACTCCAATATCCCTTAATTAATGAATATACCCATTATCGGGATTCCTGAAAAGGACCTTTAAGGATTCTACAAGGGAATTAAGGAATATTTCTTAAGCTATATTAGGGATCCTACTATACTTTAAGGACTATTGCTTCAGGGATACTTCAGGCTCTGAGTTTGCAGACTCAGCAAGGCTATTCTGGCTGGCGCATCGCATGCAGGCCTGTCCGTACGTTCATTCGCAGGTGTTGTCTTTGGTTTCGGGGTTTGGTTTAAGGTTCGGCTGATTCTTTTGGAGAGCCGGGAAGGACTGAGTACGTCCCAAAGCATAAACTCCCTAAGCCCCTCAACCCTAGATGCTTAAGCCCTAAACCCCAAACCCTAAGCCCTGACCCCTAAGGCCTTATACTGACCCCTGTAAACCCTAGACACTACTAAGCCCTACTAAACCCTATTAAACCTTTCCCTACCTACATATATATATATATATGCAAATAAATACATATATATATACACACACACTCCCTTTTTTCGGTACCTACTTTTGGCAGATCCTAGCGATAAAGCCAGGTACTCAAAAGAAGGGGTTCGCCGTATGACTCTCAAGGCCAAGTACAACTTCAAGCCCGGGATCCTGGATCTCCGGACCCCGGGAAGCAGACACCTGCCAGTAGCGAGAGCAGAAAGGCAAAGTGTTTCAGGACAGCAATGAAGCACATCAGTTGCTTGCATGAATGTGTTCTTTATGTTTCGCAGTAACTTATCTATATATCTATATATCTATATACATATATATATATATGTGTGTATATTGTAGAGAGAGAGAGAGGGAGGGTCGGCATTTGTTCGATCATGAGGAGCTGTAATAGCTACATAAGAGCAATTGACCGTGCATTCACTGGTCAGGCCCTCAGGGCTGCTGCTGCTGATTCTACCAGTACTGCTGCTGCTGCTCCTCCTCCTTTTCTTCCTCCTCCGGCTTCATGCGCGGCAAAACCTCGAATGTGCTGAACAAGATGCGTGCAAATGCGGCGCGTGGATCCTTACCTCTGTCGCAAACCCTGTAATTTGCAAACCCCTAATCCCTGCTAAGCCCTAGCTTAACCCTGAGTAACCCACCATTTTTAGGGTTCCTTATTCCTTATTATGATTTCCTTATATAAGTCCTTACAAAGGTACGTTGAGTTGTCTTGATCCAGACATGCCAATCCCTTTCATCGACGAGCATGATAAGATGTAGCAGATATATATGTATATATATATATGTATGTATATATATATATATATATATATATATATATATTTATATTTATATGTATATATATAATTTGTATACATATGTATGTAGGATAATATGCGGCATGCGTGCCTGTTGATTAACTTTGTGTGCATATCGCAATATACATATGTATGTATGTTCAGATAATCAGATATCTAGATATATTAACACTACATGTATATATATATATATATATATATACATGCATGTAGGTATAAGCACGAAATCCATGTAAGGAAAGCCATGCACTATAGCACGTTCCTTAAACAGCTTCAAGCTCTATGAGCTGGAGGTGTCGAAGTGTATCGACGCGAGTACGGGTATGCCTTCACGGAAGAGGACCGACTACATATATCGAGAGCTTCGACGGTTTCAGTTTTTACTGTTTGGGGTATTCATATACTTGTAACAAAACAACAACGTTTGACCACGACTGTTACGATCCATTCTAGCAATGTTTGGTATGGTCGGCAAGAGAAGCAGGTCGATTCGAAGTAATCTCCGTGTGCAGTGTGGGTTCTAGGGTTTAGGGTTTTAGGGTTTTAGGGTTTAGGGTTTTAGGGTTTTAGGTGTCTCAATACCCCCAACATTGTAACATCTCCCGAGAGAAAGCAACCACAAAGCAGAGCTTCACCTTGCCGGAGCCGAAACACCATGAAGGAAACACGAGGAAAGCCTCTGTGGACACAGTGGACACAGTGACATTTAAGTAACCAGTGGAGTTAGTAAGAAGGTTTCTGACCAAGATGACCCAACATTCGTTACTTCAAGCTAAACTACAACCTCAGCTACGCTGTACTTTGATAACTATAAGCTTGAACCCTAAACCCTAAACCCCAGGAGGTTAGCGGCATCTCTGAGTGTGTTCCACGCCGGCGGAAGAACTTCGTTTACCGCGTCACCCTCGCCGCTCGCACTGTTGATCCCCAGACTCATAGGAGGCCAAAAGGGTTTTAGCCTATGGGGGTTTAGTAGGGATTAGGGTTCCCATATTAGGGTTAATATTTAGGAATCCTACCCCAAGAATCTTAAACCCCCCTTTTGGCCTCCCATCACAGACCCGAAGCTCCAAAACCCCAAAACTCTCTAGGGGTTTCGGGTATAATTGGGGCTTTCGGGTTTAGGGTTTAGAGAGTTTTGAGGTTTGGGGTATACTTGGGGCTTTGGGGTTTCGGGTTTAGGGGTTTAGGGTTTTGGGGTTTACGGTTTGGGGTTAGAAGGTTTATGGTAATCTGAACTGGAAGCCTTTTAAGTCCTAAGTACTTTAAGGCCAAAGTAGATACTAGTTGGGTACATGGACCCTTCGGGTTTCAAGTGGGTGAAGCTTTGCGAGGGCTTAGGGCCTTGAATGTTCGGGATGCTTCGGGTTTTGGGTTAGGGACGTTTAGGGTCCAGGGTTAAGGGATCCTTAGGGTTTAGGGTTTGGGGATGTTCCGGGTTGGGGGTTGAGGGTTTAGTGTTCAGGGTTCAGGGCACTAGTACCCTAAACCCTAAACCCTCAACCCTAAACCCTCAACCCCAAACCCTCAACCCTAAACCCTAAACCCTCAACCCTAAACCCTCAACCCTAAACCCTAAACCTTAAACCCTAAACCCTAAACCCTAAGCAAGCTCCACCACCATGAATTTCCCATGTGTCAGCCCAGAGGATCCCACGTACCCACCTTTCAGGGACTATTACCTTAGGGGTACTTAGAAATAATTTTCAGCTTTGGTTATTTTAATCCCTAAGAAACAGCTAAAATTATAATTTTGGCTAGGGTTCTAAGTTCAGTATAGTAACGGCATCTTACAGTAATGGGTACTTTGAGGGTTTTAGGGTTTAGGGTCCGCAGTACCAGTATAGTAGAATGTAGGGTTTCTAGATGGGGAACGATTATTATGATTTGGGAAAGAATTCCCCATAACAGTGCCTGGGGCCTTGGCCGCTTTTTCGAGGGTCAAGTATCTACAAATCATATACCTTCCCAAAGATTAACCTAGATCGCCACTATCCTAAACCCACTTATATGATTATGGGGCCCTTTTGGATTTTTTAGTTTGAGTAAATCTGAGCTGTTTAACACAACCGAACCAACCCCTAAACCCTAAACCCTAAACCGACTAAGAGTCGTCTGAGGAGATGGGCCTCTGCCCCCTCACGGAGCCTTCGTCGATGCGTTCAGGGTTTAGGTACCCATAGGCCCCAAAGTAGTTCCCTTTTTGGGGATTCCCTAATAGGATTCTATATATGAACCCCGAAAAGGAACTACTTTGGGGCCTCTGGGTAGTTTCCAAGGTTCCAAGTATGGGTTTTTCCGACCATTTTGAGGGAGTTCTAGGGACCCTTACTAGGGGCCCATGGTTTCAACCGTTGATAGTTCGGCGTGTTTTCGAGTTTAGGGTTTTTGGCTTATCGCGTTCAGAGTTTATACGGCTTAGAGTTATCAGGTTCAGGGCTATAGGGTTAAAAGTGTATAGGCTAAAAGTGTATAGGCTTGAAGGTTTATAGGGCCTAGAGCGTACAGGGTTCCGGGTGCAGAGCTTTTAGAGTTCAGGGTTTAGGGCTCAAAAGGGTCGTTTATAGGTTATAGGGTTCAGGGTTTAGGGCTGTAGGCTTTTCCAGGCCCACGACGCTCTGGGCTTGGCCAAAGGAGAAGCGCTATCTTTCCTGTCTTAGTAGCTGAGTAAGTAACTTTTTTGGGGTTTAGGATACTATAAGGGGTTCCTTTAAGCGATCTATAGGGGTTCTATAAGGGGATCTTAGTAGCTGAGCAGGTAACCTCTAGTTAACCTTTTGGGATTTTTTCATCATCCTACCATAATTGAAAACGTAGACTTTTTTTGGGCCGGGGTATTCAGCCCCTAAGGTTATAACTCTTGTAGCAGTGCAGGGGAGCGGCGAGCAGAGTGGCATGTCTGTCTTGCGTGGTTAGGGTCGTGTAATTTCAACCCTTGCAACATCCCGGAACCCTAAACCCTGAACACTTTGACCCATAACCCTACAACCAAAAACTAACTCCTCAAAAAATCAAGTTCAAAAGAAAAGCAGAACTCACAACCCTACAGCAAACCCCCTGTCACCGCCGCCAAAAAGCCAGTTTTGAGTCCGAGAGGAGAGTCCTTAACAACATGTGCAGGAAAACCCTACACCCATTTCCCTCCAAACCCTGAGCCCTGAACCAGAGCCCGGGTGAGTCAGCTGACAGGGTGAATCAAGCATTTTGTAAGAATTGCTGAGCGGAAAAACGGGGCCTTCAAATGAATCAGAACCAGTAAACCCGAAGCTTAAGCCCTAAACCTCTAAACCCTTAAAGCTTAAACCCTATAAAGCCTAAAAGCACTATAAACCCTAAAACCCCTATAAACCCTGAAACCCTATACGCCCTAAACCTTTAAACCCTTAAGACAGGCTGAAACCCTGTAAGCCCTAACAGCACTATAGGGCCCGATAAGCCCTCAACCTTTCTTTTTTTGAAGGAAGGCCGCGTCCAAGAGCTCCTCACTGGCATGGCTCCAACTTGGCGAGGCCTTTTTTTGTTGCTCTCTTCCTTAGGGTTTAGGGTTTAGGGTGTAGAGCTCCGGGTTTAGGGTGTAGAGCTTCTGGTTTAGGGTTTAAGGCTTAGGGTTTAAAGGGATTAGGGTTTAGGGTTACTTGGAGGTCCAGGGAACTTAGTAAGTCGGTTATAAGTAGGGTGATAATTGGGGTAACTCCACTGCGGGTACATAATCCGAAAGGTTAACCTTCAGCTCCCCGAGGATGCTCGCCAAGTAAGGAAAGCTTCAGGTTTGTTGCTGATTTTGGTGTCAAACCCTAAACCCTAAACCCTATACCCTAAACCCTAAACCCTAAACCCTCAAAACCCTAAACCCTAAAACCCTAAACCCTAAAACCCTAAACCTTAGGGATTTGGGGCTTCAGGGTTTGGGATTTGGGGTTTCGGTTTGAGGCTTAGGGCTTCAATAGTTTTAGGACTTTCCTAACCCTTGATGGCCGGCCTTTTTTAGGGCTTCTTCTTTGGGATTTTTCATACCCTGAGGCTCCTAAGAGGGTCTTGGGCTTTCTGGGGGAGGGTTTCGGCTTTGGGGGCTAGGGTCCGGGATCTCACTACAAGGGTCCGGGATCCTCAAGGTAAGGTCTTAAATATGTAGGTGTTCGTGGGTTAGGGGTTAGGGGTGGGTTGCGGTTGAAGAGGGCTCAGGGCGCAGGCCTGTGGGAGTTTGAGGCTTCTGCCAAAGGGTAAAAGGAGGGATCCCTAATAAGGACCCCTAGGTATATACCCATAATATAGCCATACCCATTATATAGCCCATTATAGGGTAGGGCACCCCCATTAAGGGTCTCCCCTTTTCCCGTTAGATTCTGTTTTGGAAGTTTACTTGGAGGCCCAGGGGTCTTAGTAAGCCGGGTACAGCTAGACTTCTACGTACCCTAAATGGGGTTACCCCCAATGATAAGCCTACTTATAGTTTAGGGTTTGGGGCTTAGGCATAATCGATTTCCTAAATCCCCTGGGCCTCCAAGTAGGGCTCTGGAACTTCGAGGGTTTAGGACCCTACACCCTAAACCCTGTTTAGGGTTGAGAGCTTTGAGTCTCGGAAATTTGAGGGTTTAGGGTTTAGGGTTTAGGGTTGTTGTTGTTGTTGTTGTTGTTGTTGTTGTTGTTGTTGTTGTTGTTGTTGTTGTTGTTGTTGTTGTTTTTTGTTTTTTGTTTGGGGGAGGGGGAGCTTGCGGAGTTTCGAGTTTTCTGTTCTGCGAGTTGAGGGCTCAGGGTTTAGGATTTCGGCTATTTTGCGGGACGTTTAGGGCCCGCTGGGATCTGGTGTGCTTCTCGGGGTTTAACCTGTGGACGTGGATGCAAAGATTGCAATGTTCATTGCATAAATCTGACCGGTGCTCCTTCACCCTCGGCCCCAACCCTTAACAACGAACCCTAACCCATACAAGACCATCTAAATCCTAGCACTGGTTCCAGGCAGAACCTTCCAACCAGGCTCAGAGTTCAACGCGATCCACAACAACAGCCTGGACTTTGCGGATTTTTGGCCTGTAAGTCAAGAGTTGGGGGGGGAGTAGGGTTTTTCGAGTTTTACTAGGGGCCTAGATTTAAGGATTCGGGAGTTTAGGGCTATTAGGGGCCTGGATTTAAAGGGTTCGGGAGTTTAGGGCTAGGGCCTAGGGTTTAGGATGCTTGGCCTTCCAGGGGTTAATCAAGAGACGAGCAAACAAGCGCCTGGGTTTGGTGTGGCGTTCTCTCGGATGTTTATCGGTGTTGAGCTTGGTAGGCTTAGCCCCAAGGGTCCAAGTACCAAATAATCATATACTCTCCAAAATCCTAACCTACATAACTACCATCTCAAAGCCGAGTACCTGATGATTGGCTCCTTTGGACCCATGGGGTAGGGTCTATTCATAGAGCGCCTAGAGTGCTTGAGGGTCTTGGTTTTCGGACGTAAGGGTTGGGGGTTCAATCAGCTGGAAGTGTCTCAACATAATATGTAGAATGCCGATGTATGTTGTAAGAATAATAAGGTGCTCCCCCCAAAAAAAGCCACAATCCGTTCTAACTACTGAGGCCCCCCTTATAGAGACCATTAAAAATAACCCTTTCGAGGAAAAAGGAAACTCTTTCAAGATCCCTTGGTTAAGGTAAAAACCAGAAAGTTGGAATATGATTATCCTAAACCCTTTATGGTAAATTATAGGGTATCCTACCCTGAAACCATATTCCAACTTTCTGGAGTTCCCTTTAAAACCCTAAACCGGACTAGGATGGAACCCTTACATGGAACCCTAGGAACCCCTTAAAAAGGACGAGCCCCTTTAAAGGTTTTGGGGTGTCGAGGTCGGGCTTCGAAGGTGAGAAGCTGAGGCCTGACGGACTACGGTTGATGATATAAATCCTGATTCTATACATGAACCCCAAAAGGAACTACTATGGAGCCTTAGGGTATATATATGTATATATATATATATAGGAAACACCAAAAAGTTGGAAACCGCATTAAGGACAAATAGTGATGGGATTCCTCCTACATTGCTCTTAAGGATTGAGGCTACTGGGTTTGCCACTTTTGGGTTTCTACTATAGTACTTGGAGGCCCAGGGGACCTACTGCAGTGAGTCGGGCTTAAGTAGGGTTATAATTGGGGTAACTCCATGCAGGGGACTTATAACTCTACCTATAACCTACTTACTAAGTCCCCTGGGCCTCTATGTAAAGGGTGTAACTTCACCCCAAATGGGAGCTTCCGAGAATTAGGGGTACCTTATTTCGGGGTCCTTACAATGGGGATCCTACTATTTAGTGTACTGTATTTGGATCCCCCATTTTCGGAAACTCCCAAATAGGGCTACCTTTGTAGGGCTCATTGTTATCCAAGTACCAAATAAGCATATACTCTCCAAAATCCTAACCTACATAGCTACTATCTCAAAACCGAGTACCTGATTATTGGCTCCTTTGGACCCATGGGGAAAAGGTAAGGTTTCCAGGGTCCAGGGTTTACCCAGAGGTCCCATAGTACTTCCTTTTTGGGATTACTTTAGAGGATTCTAAGCATAAACCCCACAAGGAACTACTATGGGGCCTCTGGGTAGGGCCCTGACTTTAAAATTTCGCCCCTAAACCCTATATCCTAAACCCCGACGGGTGCATCCGGGAAAGCCGACAGTCCACACGAACAGAACATGGGGCACAGCCCCTGCACCCTTACCCTTTAGGGCTTAGGGTTTCGGGGTTTAGGGTTTAGGGTTTAGTGTTCTGGGTTTAAGGTTTAGGGTTCAGGGTTGGGAGTTTTCAGTTTAGGGGTTAAGGGTTTTGGGTACCTCAAAAGACCCGAAGTCTTACAACAGGGAGTGCTTGGACACTTGGGGCGAGCCTTTTAGCATAAATAAGGGCTTAGCAGGTAAGCTCGTCTCACCGGCAGAATACCTCACATCGCGCTTTAGCCTTTGGGGTCTGCTATTCCTATCAGAATCTCAACGGTTGACCGTTTATGGACTTGGGTACTCGGCCGCTAAGTTACGCTATAGCTTCAGGTCTACGGTGTTTGTAGGTTTATATAAGGGTTTTGCGCTCAGGGTTTCTTCAGGAAACAACGCCTCCACACAGGCGGCATCCCAACTCGACCGTCGCAAGCCCAAACTGTACCTATGCAGGTACACCTGCAAGGTGTATTTTTATGCATGTACACACATGGACCCTTAAAGGAACCCTATAATTAATTACCAACCCTTAAAGGGACCCTCCAACGAGCCCCTCAAAGCCGCTGGCCTTGGGGTGTTTCGAATCGTCCGAGGATGCGTTCTTGCAACAGCTGGGTGTGGGACGACTTCCTCGAGAGCTCGGTGAATCAGGCGGACATCTTGACATATCAGTGGAGCTAGATTCTGAAAAGCTTGTGGGCTGAATCCCGCCTCGCCTGTTTGGTATCTTGAACTATGGCTTTTTATTGGATACTACGGAGTTTGTCCAGCAGGGTAAGTCAAGGGCAAGCAGCCACTTGGCGGTTCTCAGTATACATATATACATATATGTATATATACACATAAATGCCCGTTAACCCCGAAAGAGCTAAGCCAGTAAATAGAAGCACAATACAGGGCTCTTAAGGGGAGACCTGGATAAAGCGACTTGCACTTCCAGGGATGTATGGGTCCTAGGTTTTAGGGTTCAGGGTTTAGGGGTTTAGGGAATGGGGAATGGGAGTTTAGGGTTTTGCGTTTAGGGTTGGTGTTTCGGGGTGCCCTCAACCCTGCACCCTGGTAGTTTCAGGTGCATCCTCGCCTGGCTACATTTCCAGCTGCAATGCAAAGCCACCTGCTCAACACTACTCCAAAGCTTTCGAGCATGTTGAAGGGCTTGTAGGTTGTATACAGTTCAGTTAAAAGCTACGTTACTTCGGGGCTAGGGACTATTGTGGATCTGGCGCGGCACACGGGTACATTTTGGGATCATCGTGTGGTGATGTAGGAACCCTATCAAGAAACTCTGTGCCTATACCCCCCACTCCGCCCCCTTACCCCCCGCCCCCCCCCAAAAAAAAACAAGTTATATATATATATATATACAGGGATCCAAAAAGGGAACCCTAATAAAGGCCCAGCTTTCTAAATCAGGTTCCCATAGATGCCGCGGTTTACAGGCTCGTTTTAGGAAACCAGTGTTTGTTTGGTTTAAGAGCCTTATTGGCAGCAGCGCAACAGATGGCTATCATGGGTTTGGTGGCAGTTGAGTTTTAGGTATGTGCGCTTTTTTGTCTTATACCAGTGATTCTCGGAATGTCTTGATCCCGTCTCGCTCTTAGCTTGGGGATTCGAATCCGGCCGTACACGGTTCCTCCACACTCCCAAACTTTTCATATTCATCGAGAAGGTTTTTATAATACTTTAAAGAGGGTAGCACGTAGCTTTGTATGAATGGCCGCAGCTAGAGGAATAGACCCTCAATCGTATAGAGATGCATCTCTATCTAGACTCTAAACCCTAAAACTCTAAACCCAAAAACCCTAACCCCTAACATCCAGACTGTAGACCTTAACCTTAGCGAATCTGTACTTCAAGGAGGCAAGCCGACGCCCGAATTCCGTGAGCTCCCAAAGCTCTTCATTAGGCCATATATACCGAATTACTTTAAATGCATCCTGCAAATATTACAAAAAACGTAACCCTAAGCCCTAAACCCCATTATATAAACCTTCTCAACCATAAACCCAATAATCCTTATCCAAGTGGTTTTGGAATCTCTGAGATAGCGACACCCAACGAAGGATCTTCAAGCCCCTGCAGCAGACTTGCTCGATGGATTTCAGCCTCTCTGGGCGACTTGTCCCGATTTTCAGTCCTTTGCGTTTTCATTTCTCTTTCAGGACTAGACTAGGTAACCTTCGATCTTTTTTGGGGGCATGCTCCCTATACCAGGTTCCTGTCGCCCTGTTTTGTTCAGGGTCGCCTTATCAGAACTGAACAGGAAGGTTAATCGTGTCCATATTAGTCTTGTTACTATTGTTACTATTATGGAGGGGCTACTCAGAAACCGAGCATATTATCTTACAGTAGAAACCAGAAAGTTGGAATATGATTATCCTAAACCCTTTACGGTAAATTATAGGGTATCCTACCCCCGAAACCATATTCCAACTTTCTGGAGTTCCCTTTATCTTAAGGGTTCATCTTCAAGCCGGACAAGCAGGCATTAGGGTTTGCGGGACTCAGGATTGCGATGTGCCACGGAGTTGGAGAATGACGGGAGAACAGATGGATCAAGACATCTTTCCGTAGGAGATTTCGAGTTTCGAAGAAGCTTTGGGCCTACCTTAAGGCTCCCGGACCCTTGTAGTGAGATCCCGGACCCTAGCCCCCAAAGCCGAAACCCTCCCCGCAGAAAGCCCAAGACCCTCTTAGGAGCCTTAGGGTATGGCCCTGAGTCGCATGACGTTGCGATCTTTTTTGGTAAGGGGCGGTGCTGCATATGGTATACTCGGGAAATGCTTCTGGGGCTGTTGGTGACTTGGTGACTATGTTGTTGGGCTATCCGTAGTGAATACCATGGCATGCCGCGTAAGCGGCGGAATGACGATGTTTTTGCACTACAGTCTGAAACGACTTAAATCCCTGACAATGACACGTTTGCTTTATCACTACAGTTCCTTGTCCTGGCGCGAAAGCCTTGTCCCTCCGCCTGAGCACTGAGCACACGGCTGCATGAATCCCTTAGTAGGGTTTAGGGGTTTGGGGTCTAGGGATGTTCCTTTTTCATGTTCGAACCCTGCCCGCCAAGAGAGATGAAACGGCTTGCATATACTTGCGCACAGCTAAATACAATGAGGGTTTTTGGCTTGTATAGGGCTCAGGGGTTTTTATACACGTATAAACACGCACGTTAGTATATGTTCATATATATATATATATATATGTGTATTTGCGATCTTCTGCAATTATGAAAGTATGCACCTCGATTGTGTATAGCTGTGTTCATGTGTACAGCTACGTATACTGACCATCTGCACGGCGAGGCTTATGAAATAGAGACGATGCAAATGCACGGCACAAGTAAGCTTGACGGAGGGCTACTCACTGCAAAGTCCAAGAGGCTCACCTGAACCATCCTAAACCTTGAAACCTATATAACTCTTATCCCTAAACCTTAGCCATCGCAGGCTTTTCAAAGGAGCTGCAGAGATGGGCTCCAGCAGCGCGCTCAAGGGTTTGGGGCTTTGATTGGTTCAGGGCTTTATGTGCAGGACTTGAAAATTCTGGTTCTAAGCCCTAAACCCTAAAGCCCGTAGAGTTTATCTAAGAGCCCTAAAACCTGTTGAAAACCTTGCAACTTAGAGGTTCGAGGTTCAGGGTAATACTCGTGGTTTTCCGGCGTACATGATGGCCCAAGGCTTTGGGGATGACAAGAGTCCCCAGCCCACTCTGCGATGATTACCTTAGTAGCTGAGGAGGCACTATAAGGGGTTCCTTTCAGGGATCTAACGGGGTTCTATGAGGGGACCTTAGTAGCTGAGGAGGAAACCTTGAACCTTTTGGCGTTTATACAATCCTACCCCCCAAAGGCTCCATGTATCTTTATAGTAGATACTTAAGCCTTAAAGGGGTCCCTATATATAGGTCCTTTAAGGCCAGATTATATGCTATAAGGGTACACGGAGCCTTAGGGACCATGTTTGAGAGGGTTTGCACTTTGGGGAGCTGGCATACTCAGCTCCCAAGGTGATAATTACACCAAGGGTCCAAAGGACCCAATAATTAGGTACTCTGTTTAGGATAGTAGTTGTGTAGGTTAGGATTTTGGAGAGTATATGATTATTGGGTACTTGGACCCTTGGGGTTACATGAAAGACAGAGGTTCAAGGTTAAGGGATTGGGATTACGGAGCTTTGGGATTTTAGGGCTTTGGATGCAGGGTTTGTTTAGCGTTAGGGGTTTTGGATTTAGGGCTTAGGGTTAAGGGTTTTGCGCTTAGGCTTTAGGGTATAGGGCCTTTAGGGTTTTGGGATTTAGGGTTTTGGATTTAAAGTTCAGGGTTTTGGAATCAGGTTGTAATGGGCTCTGGTTTGGGGGTCTTTGTGGAGTCCGGATCTTCTGATCTCCTTTATGCTGAAGTCCTTCAGAATACATTGGGTACGGCTCCCACTCAGTAATTGTCGAATAATATTCATAATGAGGCTATATTAGGACCTTAGTAGTAGCCCTATTGTAGACTCTTACTGTATGGGGGCCGTACCTAAAGAATACAGGCCACAGCCTCTCTGAACATGAGGTTCAGCGTGCAAGTTCATGATCGGGTTTTGCAGAAATCGACCTTTCCTTGTGAAATGGCTTCCGAGTTTCCTGCAAGGATTAGCTCGGGGAAGAGCTTTCTCTGTGGCTTCAGGATTTAGTGCATGGTTTGGATAATGAGTGCCCCCGAACGTCTCAAGGCACGAGGCATTGATGTCGACTCTGCCGTATATGTGTCTTGTATGGTTGTGTATGAATATGTGTATAAATATGAATATGTATATATGTTTGTGATAACAATTCGTCATACGCTTATTGTAGTATTGTAGTAGTGGTAATGAGAGTACAAGATAACAATAGGCACTAATAACATGAACGGAAAGACGAGGAATAACAATAACAATCTACTGGTAGTCAAATAAATATTAGTAATAACAATCGCGAGTTAATAATATGAAGCATGATGGACATCATCGTGTTATATGTACACACGTGTATGTGTACATGTATATGACATATTTATGTACGTTTATACATGTGTATATGTATATATATATATATATATATGTTTCTCCTTATTTTTATAGATATGCACATGCATCTGTATGTATATAGAAAAATACATATGTACACATACATGTTAGTTACTTGTGAACGCGTCTGAAAACGGTTCCGTTCGCATCCCAGGTGTGGCAGCCATGTTTGCGCAGCCATTCAGCCAGGAATCTGGGAGAGTCTTGGGGTTTAGGGACTTGGGTGGTCGGGCTGCAAGATCAAAGCTTCGGGCTGTCATGGTGGCTCTATTCGGCTTTTCGCTTCAGGCAGAGTAGGCACCCCCTAAAATCTCAACTGTGCTTTAAGCCCTAGGCCCTAGAGTGTTATTGTTTCGGGTTTCAGGGTTCAGGCTTTCGGGTTTGGGCAAAGGGCCTGTCCCCGGTTATTTCGAACATCCTACGGTTTGGGAGGCAATACGCTGATATATGCGATACCACATCCATACAGGCTTCCTTTACGGGCGCTAGAAGGGCTATGTAAGGGGTCGGGATCAATAGCATGTAACTCCTAGAGGCTCCAGATACAATACCATTATGGAATTAGGCCCCTAAAACCCTGATAAGTATGGTCTTTTGGGGCCTAATTCCATAATGGTACTATATATGGAGCCTCTGGGACTAAGATGATTACTGGAGGCTCCTTATCATAACAAGACTATAAACCTTAGTCACAAAGGTTCCTTTGGTACCTCATTGTCTTGTATGGGAGGCCCGTCTGTAAACTGGAACATCCCCCCTCCCCAAAGAAAGAACAGTGCTACGATTTCGGCTCTAGATGGGGGACGAAAGCTCAACTTCCGGAAACCCGAAGGAGGAGGCGGATGGCGAAGATCCCGAGATGCAAGCGCATGCCGCATGCCAAGCGTGACGCCATAAACCCTAATGATCTAATGTGGGGCCTAGAAATTACCACAGTTATTGTATAATACACCCGCAAACCTCATTCTGATTATCAAGGCCCTTTACCACTAAGGCTCCATGTACCCTTGTAGTACATACTTTGGCCTTAAAGTACCTATATAGGGACCCCTTCAAGGCTTAAGTATCTACTAAAAAAAATACATGGAGCCTTTGCCCACAGTAATCGCCCTGATCTTTGCATTCTAAGCTGCTGACCTTCATCAGCCGAAAGGCTTCCTACATACGGTTGATGATATAAATCCTGCATGACCCATAATAAGGAATATGACCATAATTCCCATAGTTTAGGGTCCTTAAGGTCATGCAGGATTTATATCATCAACCGTAAAGCCCCAAACTCGACCTTCCCAGTTTTAGTAGCTTTGTAGGTCACCTTTAACCTTTTGGGGTCTAAGTAACCCTACCATAATTCAGAAGGCTAAGCTTTTTGGGGCTAGGATACTCAGCGCCTGAGTAATTCAACCCCATAAACCTTCGTCTCAGTTGAGAAGTGTCGGACTACACTTGAAAGCATCCCAGTGCACGTTGGAAATGGCAGTAGAAACATAGACCTGGTTTCTGGAGTACCATACTTGAATACTTTTTTGGGGGACCTGTTCCTTTAAGGAACCATTATGAAATAAACCTCTATCTTTTCTCCCTGGTTACTTCGAACTCCAGGGCAGCTGCTGTGAACTGTCTACTCTTGAAGTTGCCAGGGTGTCGATCCCTTTTGACCCCTAAAGAGAACGCTTATGGTACCCTTTAAAGGAACCCTAGGGGTCGATCCCTTTAAAGGATGCTCGAACGGTGTATGTACGCTTCAATTTTCCGGTGTTGTACAAGAGTGTTACCTAGACGGTATGCTTAGGCCTACAAAGGTATCTTAGTGCCAAGTAAGCACTATATCACTATAAGTAGGCATAGGGTTAGTCTGGAGGCTACACGACAAGACAAGGTTGACTAGGCTTGGGGACTGGTCCCGTACCCCACCTCCCCCCAGCGGATGAGGTAGCCTATAAAGGTCCATGTATCCAAATAGCACATACTTTGGGCCCAAATGTACCTATATGGGGAGGTACTTTCAGGACATACCAAAAAATGGGTACATGGACCCCTAGGGATTGCTGCCATTGTGGTTGCCCTTCTTGCTATACTTGCCTGTATTTCCATGCACTATCAGTTCCTGTTGGGCCTTTGGTAGTTTGCACCGCAGCGTACTAGGGTAAGCATGGTTTCATAGTCTAAACTTTTAGCCACCTTAAACCGTAGACCACTAAACCCTAAACCCTAAACCCGTATCGATCCCTCTTTAGGAGCCCTTTTTAGGAACCCTTAAACCCTAAAGCCGTATCGATCCCTCTTTAGGAGCCTTTTTTCGGAACCCTCAGCCCTTCAACCCCAAATCCCAAATCCCAAACCCTTAAACCCCAAAACATATAGATCCCCCTTTAGGAGCCCTTTTTCGGAACCCTCAGCCCGTAAACCCCAAATCCCAAATCCCAAACCCTTAAACCCCAAAACATATAGATCCCCCTTTAGGAGCCCTTTTTCGGAACCCTCAGCCCTTCAACCCCAAATCCCAAATCCCAAACCCTTAAACCCCAAAACATATAGATCCCCCTTTAGGAGCCCTTTTTCGGAACCCTCAGCCCTTTAAACCCCAAATCCCAAATCCCAAACCCTTAAAGCCCAAAACATATAGATCCCCCTTTAGGAGCCCTTTTTCGGAACCCTCAGCCCTTAAACCCCAAATCCCAAATCCCAAACCCTTAAAATCCGAAACTCGGCCCTCGAAGCTTCCGACTTTCACTCCGATATCTGCCCTACTCAGTAAGGGCTCTGAAAGGGCCCCTTAAAGGGATCTATAGGGTTCCTTAGAGGGATCTATGGGGTGTAGGGTTTTAGGGTCTACTTGGAGGGGCAGGGGACTTAGTAAGTCGTTTATAAACAGGGTTATAATTGGGGTAACTCCATTTAGGGTGCTTATAACTCTACTTACAACCTACTTACTAAGTCCCCTGCCCCTCCATGTAGGGATTACCTATAGTCTCGATTGTAGTTCCTTGTTTTTGGTCAACCAAAACCTCTATTATAGGATCCTAACCATAAGACTGGTTAACCAAAAAAAGGAACTACAATGGAGACTATAGGTAGGGTTTGTGGTTCATAGGGGATGAGGGTTTAGGGTTTTAGGGTTCAGGGTTTAGGGTTTAGGGTTTAGGGGTTCAAGCATACCACATTAAAGGTCTTCGCAAGCTTAAAGAAATTCGGAAAATTAGGGGTACCTCATTTTTGGGACCTTATAGTAAGGATCCTACTATCCCCTATTTTCGGAATCTCCCACATAAAAGGTTTTCTGAAGCCTAATAAAGAAGTTTAAGAAACGCAGACCAGAGACCGATAATCCCAAAGGCTCGTATTTATTAAGGCCCCTATCTTCTAGTACCTTCATAGATCCCTTCTAGTAACCTTTATAGGCCCCCTTTAAAGGAACCCTATTCTAAGTCCCCAAAGGCTCCATGTATAATAGATACTTAAGCCTTAAAGGGGTCCCTATATAGGTACTTTGAGGCCAAAGTATATACTATAAGGGTACGTGGAGCTTTAGGGAATTCCACCCAGGGGGCCGATCGCCAACTTTTCTGCCAGAGTGTGGCGTGCACGGACGATGTGACCTGACCGAAAGGGATGGGGGCCTCCTCAAACTGATCGTTTCTTCGGTTGATGATATAAATCCTGCATTACGTTAAGGACCCGAAACTGTGGGAATTATGGTATATTCCTTATTATGGGTAATGCAGGACTTATATCATCAACCGTTCCTTTCAGGGTCCATGTACCCAAATAGTATAGACTTTGGGCCCAATGTACCCGTATAGGGAGTACTTCAAGGCCAATGTATATACTATTTAGGTGCATGGACCCGCAGGGGACAGGCCTGCAATATCCCTACACCCTAAACCCCTAAACCTAGGGATCGGTCTTCGTTATATGCAGGGTTATCAGGGATACGAGGTCTCGAGGTTATTTGTTTCAGGGGTTATACACTCTAATTCCGGGGGTACTGTCCTGCTATGTTGTAGGGTTTGGGGTCTTCTTTGGGGTACTTAGAAATAATTTCTCTACTTTTTGCTATTAAAATCCCTAAGAAACAGCTAAAATTGTAATTGTTGCTGGGGTTCTAAGTTCAGTATAGTCTTCAGGTAGAGTTCTTCATTATGTTCGGAAACAGCAGCCGGCCATGTGAAGCCATAAACGCGAAAGCTTGAGACAAAGGATGCTGGGCTTCTGGCCACCGAGCCCGCGAACTCCTCGCTTGATGCGGTGCCTCGGTGTGAACATGACAAGTCAGACTATTTATGGGGCCTAAAGAGTCGTACCCCACCCTGTTTTCAGGACCCTGAACCCCAAACCCTAAACCTAATAACCTACTTTTTCTTGGCCAGTGCTAGGTAAGCCCGAATAAGCCGTCATAGTCCCAGCTACCCCGAAATTGGCGCAACAATTCCGAACAAAACTCGTTGCCCGACTTGGCCCAAGCGAGATAAGCGATGACAGTGACAAGGTGTCCTCGAGACGTTGAAGAGGCCCCCATCCTCACCTGAACCCTGTGCTGAGCCTAGTGAGCCAAGTTCCTCATGAGTTTTCGTCGCTGATGCCAAAATCAGGAACAGAGCACCAGAGTGTAGGCTCGGGCCCCTTTGGAGAAAGAGTAGTTGCAGTCAAGAGAGAAGCCCACAACCCTAAACCCTAAGTTCCGACCCCTGAATCTTCTGCGGGGCTGCTTCATTTTCACCTTTTGAGCCTCAGCCTCTTCCTCCCGGAGGAGTATTTTGTTGGCGATGTGGAGCCCCTGCCCGACAGCTCGGATACCCTGCACCCTTGAACGCAATCGTTCCGGGCTTTACCGAGTTATGCTTGGCAGTGAGCTTGTTCGACATAACAGCAAGAAGTAGGAACTACATCCGGGAGTCGATATAGTGTGGAGGGCAGACATCAACTTTGATGTGGGAGGTTTACAGTTCATGCATGAGGTTGGGGTTGACACATCTGTCCACTTCACCTTCTCCTTATTCCGCAAACTCGGAAGACAGATGTCTGAAGTAAATGCAGTAGAGTCTCAGTAAAGCATAGGTTAAGGTATGTTTCGACGCAGCTGGTACTCAGCGTTACCCCTAAGACTCCATGTACCCACATAGTAGGTACTTAGGCCTTAAAGGGGTCCCTATACAGGTACTTTCAGGCCTAAGTACATACTGTATGGGTGGTTGTCAAAATTATGGCCCTTTCTTGGGGTACCCTGAAAAATAGGTGCCGTATTATAATAGGGACCCAAAAAGGGACCATAATTTTGACAACCACTCATAGGGGTACATGGAGCCATTGGGTACGGAGAAATTACGCCCGCGACGCACAAACCCAAAGCAAAGCTCCTCACCCCAGCCCTTGGATACGTTCCCCGAAGCGCCCATGTGACCAGATAGTACAGTTTTAGGATGTACCCGAATTCGCGCAGAGTGTAGTTTTGGTGACTTGCTTGACACGTTACGTTTAGAAATTTATGGTTTGAGCCTGAGCCTGAGTGCTGCAACTTGATCAGGATTTACATAAGTCTGACAAGGCCAATGGAGGAGAAGCTGCATGTTGAACAGCCCTTGACCCAGAAATCACAACCACAAAGCGCAAACTAGCCCGGACGGCTTTCATTGATGACACCTTAACCCAAAATCGCGCTACCCCTAACCCCTAAACCCCTATACCCTAAACCCCTAAACTCTAAACCCTAAACCCCTAATCCCTAATTCTAAAACCCTATAGATCCCTTAACAGAACCCTCATATTTCCTCTCTACCTGGACCCCAAAAGTGTGTAGAATAATAGCCGTTTATAGGTTTGGGGCCATGATTTAGCTTACTTTGGGGGGTTTAGGTAAACAAAACCAGGCATGAGCTGGAGATCACCGTCGCTCGAGGTCTGGCTCAGGAGCGACAGCTTGGCTGTGTCCCGGAGTGCACTTACAACTGACACGAAGGAGTCTTAACTTGGCGTTCTTCTGGTTGGCTCTTAGGACTTTATTTTTTGGGGTTTTCTTCATGAGCTATGATAGGGAGGAGAGAAGATTAACTTTTAGGGATGGGTTTAGGAGTCTTCTAAGTTAAATCTATGGTCAGTTTGTTGTGGATCTAAGTTTTCGGGGTCATTGGTAAGGCCCCTCACGACCGGAACCTGCCAGATACTTGCAGTTACCTCTTGGCTTCGCTACCGGATCACATCACTTTGCTCATATACTTATTGTTTATGCGTACTTGTATGCACGCATGTGCGTATGTCAGGTATGCATGTGTATGTATGTATGTATGTATGTATGCATGTATGCATGTAAGCATGAATGAAGCCTGCATGTATATATATATATATATATTATAGAAAAAATATATATATATATATGTATGTCCGTATGTATGTCCGTATGTATGTCACCATGTAGTCATTCATGTAGTCATGTGTTAAGTCTGCACGTGTCCACCGAACTACCTATCAGTCGATGTATTTGCTATATGTCTAGGTCTATATGTCGGTGTGTCTATGGATGTATGTAGTATGTATGTTTGTTGTAGGCAAGTCTGAGATAGACCAATGTATTGCAAAGTGATGTAGCATGATGTAAGGTTGGCAATGTAATACAGTGTAGCTACCTGGAAGCCTACAGAAGAACCCTTAAGACCCAATTCGTTATACACCTAGTATGTAAATAGGGATTATTTGACGACCAAAGTTGTACTACATGAGCACACGTTCTAGAACCCTAGACGAGGTCTCCTGTCGATACACTGTAGTAAACCCTCTAACCCTTAAACACTTAAGCAAAAAAGCAACGGTCAAGCTTGAACCCTAGCCCACATTCGGCCGAAATCCTCATCCAAAGATCCTAACCCTAAGGCTCAAGTCAAAATGGCTTAAAAGCCTTATGTAATGTGGTCTTTAGGCATAAAAGCCTTAAAATGTGAGTCCATAGAGCCTTAGGGTGAACCTAAACCTTAAACCCTGAACCCTATCCTCTCGATCCCAGACTCCCAGACCCCCGAGTCCTAAACTCTAAGGTCTCTTGTCAGCGCGGGGCGCCGAGAAAGCTCGCGGATCGGAGGCCGAACGTTTGTCTGCCTCAGCTTTCCGGGTTTAGGCTTTAAGGGACCTTGCAGGTATCTTTTGGTTTCTTTGAGCTATAGTCTTCTTCGGCATTGTTTTATGTTGGTCATATAAAGCAGCATTACTTTCGTTGTGGTTCTAATGGCACCTAAGTGGGGGGATCTTCGGGCTTCTTTCAAATAGTGGTTCCTGTAGGGGATCTTGAAGGGATCTGTTGGGGCTCCGTTAAGGGATCTTGAAGTTCCCCTTAAATGGATTGGGTTTAGGGTTTAGGGCGGTAGGTTTTAAGTTTCAGCGTGTACGGGTTTAGCTTGTAAAAGGGACTCCGTTTCGGGTTCTACTATAAAGAGTCTTTGCAGTATTTAAAACAACTAAAGGAGAGCTGTGAGGGTGTGGGATTACGAGTCGGGTGTGGATGGCAGGGTGTTTGGAAGCATGTTGGGTTTAGGGCAAGTTTAGGGCTTTAGAGTTTAGGGTTTATGGCTTTGGAGTTTAGGCTCATATGTCTGCCTGCTGCTCGGGTTCCCAGAGGGCCCAAGTGCAAATGGTATATGAACTTTTTAGGGATTATGTTAAGGTGTTAAGGTTTTGATGTTGAGTGTGGTCTTTTGGGCGTACGCATAGCACAGATCCTGGTAGCTTCTGGGCCTCAGCACATACAACCCCAAGGGTTCATGTACCCATTTGGGCCCAATGTACCTATATAGGGAGTGCTTCAAGGCCAACGTATATACTCTTCAGGTACATGGAACCGTGGGGCTAGCTGAACCTGTGAACGGTGCCCGATTGCGGGTGGGGGCGCCGGGGGTCTGGAGTCTATAAAACAGGAGATAGGGGGCTTAATCATTAGAATAGTCGTGGCGAGTATGTTGTAGCGAACTAATGGGATGAGCATTACTAACTATTTCAGGCCCGACATTACCTGCTCCTCAGTGTACAGTTTGGTGCAAAACGGCCCAGATGCGCCGAGTGTGCATATGACATGAGACGGATTGCAATCAGGATAACTCCATGTAGTCGCAACAGCACCCACCCACCCCAGTATCAACCAGCTTACCCAATACCTCCTGGTAACCTATATAGCAGGTTACTGGCCCTAGTGCCCGGAATAGGGGATGTTTGGCCCGAAGACACCCTACGCCAGGAACCGAAGGAGCTTTAGGAACCATTGATGTCAGTAAATCGTAAATATCACTGGACTCAGTATAAATAAGTAAATATATAATATATAATAATATATATAATATATAATATAATATATATATATATATATATATATTATATAATATATATATATATATATATATATATATATATATATATTATTACTATTATATTATATTATATGTATATATATATATAATGTTAAAACTACTCCTCGAATAGTAATATTCTTCTACAGGGCCCGGGGATAACAAGCCGAATATTTTGACCCTTCTACCCGAAATCAAACCCTAAACTTGGGGGGTGGGTAGTGGGGTTTAGAAGCAGTACAAGGTCTTGGGGTTTGGGTTGGTCGCTATTTGGCCGATTTAACAACTGTTTCATTGCCGCCTCGCTCCTTCAAGCTCTGCAAACCAGTTAACCCCTCGAACCTGCCCGAAACCCTAAAGCCGAATGCCCTTATTCATAAGCCCCATCACATCGCAAAGCATATATCGTCGAAATCTTCAAACCTGCAAACCCCGCAACCCTGTCTCAAACCCTACAGCCCTAAAGGCCTTAAGGCCCTGTGAAATCGCGAAGCAACCGTCGAATCCGCCAGATCTGCCAAGCCCTGCCCTAACCCCGAGCCCAAAGCCTCTGAAGCCCGGCCACGTGGTTGGCGGTTTGGATTCAGGGTAGGGGTTTAGGAACTAGGTTTTAAGTTTTAGGACGTCGGGCCTGAAGTTAACTGGGTTCCTTAGATAATAAGGCAGCAGGCTAGGATTAATACCTTGGCCCCCGCCAGCGGTAGCGATTCGCGATTTTGCTAGCGCCGGCGCAGCAGCTCCTTCGGTCTCTCGGCCGCCACCCTTCAGGGATTGGGCACTTCCGGGATTAGGGGCCTAGAACTACTATATATCAGCAGGCCTAACAACAGAAACTCTGCAACACCAGACCTCAGCAAGCTTCGTTTCAGCACCCTGTCTTCGAAGTTTCGGCCGGCTCGTGCTTTCACGCATAAAGGTTTCAATAGTCCCAGGCTGTCCTCTTGCGAGAAACAATGTTGGGATCTCGAATTGTAACCTCAGGTCGGCCAAACATGCTTATGAAATCCTCTTGTCATCGCTTCAACCCATTCAAACATTAATCACAAAGCTGCGACTTATGAGTAAAACGAGGCACACTCGGACTGGATGTCCAGCAAGGTTTCTTCAAAGGCCTAAGAATGAACATGATGGACCCAACCGCCAGGTTTTCGATGTTCAAGCTATTACGATTGCACGAATAGGTAAGATCGATGCAGGCTAGGGACATGGAGCTTGGGCCTGAGGAAGAACCGTAGCTGACCTTCGGCACTGTACCTTCTGGCACATTCACGATACAGCAGCAGGAATTTCATGCCACGGGAGTAAAGCTCGTCTGCTTCCAGTCTCGTCAGCAGTCGTGGCAAGCTTTCAGAAAGCAGTTGCCAACCAGCGATAGTATGCCTAGCTGATCAACGAAACCATAGGGTTGGGGCTTTACGGTTTAGGGCTTAGGGCTCCAAGGTGTTGGGGTTTCGGTTTCATGGTGGAAAGGCGGCCCGGGATTTTGCAGTATGCAACACCTCAAATCTGATATAGTTATATGAATATTAATATCGGCACAGATGCACACAGCTGCATATGAGGCTCGCGAGCTCTTCTCGACGACGAAATTCGTCATCATCTTCCCCTGGCCGCCGGGCCCGCAGAACAGCTTGCGTCGTCTGACATGTCAGAGCTTCCTCAGCTCATTATCTTTTCGGGTTCGGGGTTTGGGTTGTTTTGGGTTTAGGATTAAAGCCTTTAGGGTGAAGGATTTCGGGTGTTTTGGCTTTAGGATTAAGGCCTTTAGGGTTAAGGGTTTCGGGTGTTTTGGGTTTAGGATTCAAGCCTTTAGGGTGAAGGGTTTCGGGCGATTTGGGTTTAGGACTTAAAGCCTTTCGGGTGTTTGGGGTTTGGGATGAAAGCCTTTAGGGTGAAGGATTTCGGGTGTTTGGGGTTTAGGATTAAAGCCTTTAGGGTGAAGGATTTAGAGTGTTTGGGGTTTAGGATTGAAGCCTTTAGGGTGAAGGATTTCGGGTGTTTGGGGTTTTAGGATTAAAGCCTTTAGGGTTAAGGGTTTCGGGTGTTTAAGGCTTAAGGTTTAGGATCAAGGCCTTCAGGGTTAAGGGAGTCGGATGTTAACCGTGTTGGGTTTAGGATGAAGGCCTTTAGGGTTAAGGGTTTCGGTTGTTTGGTTGCTGACTTATTAATGCCATCCAACTGTCTGCAAGCCAGGCCAAAACCACACGACAGTTGTAGGCTTTAGCGGCGAGGAATGGATAGTCAGTAGCCGGCTTGTTGACGGGATAGTGCAGGTTTGCTGGCGTAAATCTTCGCTGGGAGCAAGAGATACCCTGAAGTTTGCAGTATCTTTGGAACTCATTGAATAGGAATCGAAGTTTGTCTTCGACCTCGCTGCCCCCGCCATATACCTCGTGCTCCATCAGCTGTAAAATCCCCTCTGCACAGAGATTCTGGAGAATTCCAAGGTTGAGGATGTGCATCGTACATCCTCGCCTGAGTGGCAACAGCAGTACTACGAGACGACCGGGGGGGAGCAGACCCTAAATCCCTAAATCACATAATCTACATTGAACAAGGTAATCGACCAAGAGTCAGCATCCGGACATGGAAGCCGGGGATGAGAATCATCGGGTTGGGGCTTCTGGGAAACACGTGAAGTAGTGCTTCGACATTCGAAAGTCTCGCCCAGCATGTCCCAAACTGGGTATACAAAGGACCTTTGCCCGAGAGGCGGGCTGCATTGCATCTGTGGCATATCAAACCACACTGCCAGTTGCGAAGTAACCCAAAAGCTTCTCGCATGTATTTTTGATCACCTTTGTATTCTGTAATCGCAAACCGTGCCGAAAGTTCGGGCTTGCTCGAAGCCAGTTGCTTCTGTCTGCAGCTCAAATCAGAAGTTGTGCCACTGGGGCCATGTATGGGGCGACGCCCCTGGAAAGCGCAGGTAAAGCTCCATGCTGCTCTATGGTAGATGGGCCGCAACGTCTCCTGCAAATGACAAAGTCCCAACATAAAAATCCCCGAAGCCCCAACCCAGTGTACCCTAAATATATTCGCAACCATCTTAAGCATCTCCTCGCCAGCACAGTAGAAGGAGTTCACAACGAAGTATGTAAAGTTCTTTCTCCATGGATCACCTTTTCAGGCACGAGCTTAATGATACACTTAAGGCTAGGCTTGCACATGTTATATACTAAATTCCCCGAAACCCCAGAACCTGAACCTTAAGTAAACCCATAACTAGCGAAATACAACCGGCAAAACACCAGGCCTTTGCACTTGTGTAATGTAAACGAAAACATGAGTGCCAGGAAAGAATCTCCTTGTTTCGTGAATTGAGCCTCGTCCCCATAGACCTGAACAGGCTTTCGGGTGCAGGGTTTAGGGTGCTCTGTTTAGGCTTGGGGCTTTGGTGTGTAGCGACTATAGCTATATTGCATCCCGAGCCAGCTAATTGCATTATTGTCCGAGGTGCAGAAATGGGAATGCTGTGCTCGTCGGCAGGATGCTGCTTGGCCCAATCGACATCAAGGGCCCTGAAGTGTCGCCAATATTGCCTTAGACTTTGCGGGAAGGTGTTAAGCTAATTAAGTGGCTCACGATTATAGAATTAGAGGGTTGCGAATCTCAATGTACAATTGAAGGGTTCAGCCTAGATGCACGATTTCCTCGTCAGGGATGTAGATTCGATAAGTGGACCAGATATACTCTATGTACTCGTGCGGGTCCAAAAACGGTAGAGCCTTCTCGACCCGTTGCT